TATATTTAAACCTTGACCGATTTTTACGAAACTTGGCAGACATCATTTCAGCTCAATTCAGTACGCTATGCCAAATTTCTTGTAAATCGAAAAATATATAGGGACTTTGGTGCACCATTTACATGAAGTCGGACGAATCTATATATGGGAGCTATATCTAAGTCTGCACCGATTTTCTCGAAACTTGGCAGACATCACTCTGGGCTCAATTCAGTAAGTTGTGCCAAATTTCGTGCAAATCGAAAGATATATAGGGACTTTGGTGCCCCATTTACATAAAATCGGACGAAACTCTATATGGGAGCTATATCTAAGTCTGCACCAATTTTCACGAAACTTGACCGACATCACTCTAGGCTCAATTCAGTACGTTATGCCAAATTTCGTGCAAATCGAAGGATGTACAGGGACTTTGGTGCTCCATTTACATGAAATCGGACGAAAATATGTACGGGAGCTATATCTAAATCTGGACCGAATTTCACGAAACTTGGCAGACATCATTCTAGGCTCAATTCAGTACGCTATGTCAAATTTCGTGTAAATCGAATGATATATATGGACTTTGGTGCACCATTTACATGAAATCGGACGAAACTATATAGGGAGCTATATCTAAATCTGGACCGATTTTCAAGAAACTTGGCAGACATCATTCTAGGGTTAATTCAGTACGTTATATTAATTTTCGTGCAAATCTACAGATATATAGGGTCTTTTGTGCACCATTTACCTTAAATCGGACGAAAATATATATGGAAGCTATATCTAAATCTGAACTGATTTTTCCCAATTTCAATAGGGTTCGTTCTTAGGCCAAACAAATGAGCTGTGCCAAATTTCATCCAAATAAATGGGACCTGTACTTTGTTTACAATTTAACACCAACAGACGGACGGATATGCATAAATCGACTCAGAAAGTGATTCTATGCATATTCTCAAAAGGAACTATGGGTATATCTCGTTTCCTTTTGCTGTTACAAACATATGCACAAAGACATAATACCCTGTACCACAATGTGGTGAAGGGTATAAATACATACCGATTTAATAATGAGGGAGAAGGCGTGTAATGTGATATACATGAAAATAAAAAACACCAGTACAGAAAACATCATGCTACATGCCTAAGCAATAGAATACGTCTATAGCTTCTACTGCCTAGGAAGCATTGTAACAACAAGTGGTGGGGCTGCAACGAATGTAATCTAAAAGCTAAAATAAAACCAGTAAGGAAATATCAAAAGACGGACGGGACCGACTATATGATACCCTTCACCCTTTTGGGTATATGCACCATTTACCAAAATCGGACGAAAGTATATATGTGGGAGCTATATCTAAATCTGAACAGATTTCCACGAAACTTAACACATCATTCTAGACTCAATTCAGTACGCTATGCCAATTTCGTACAAATCAAAAATGTATAGGAACTTTGGTGTTTCAGTTGCATTAAGTCGGGAGCTATATTTAAATATGCACCGATTTTCACGAAACTTAACACATATCTGTCTAGACTTATTTCAGTATGCTATGAAAAATTTCATCCAAATCGAAATGTATACAAGGACACCACTTACGTTAATCGGACGAAAATATATATGTGAGCATATCTAAATCTAAACCGATTTTCTCGAAAGTTAACACACATAATTCTAGACCTAATTAAGTACGATATGCCAAATTTCGTCCAAACCGAAAGATATATAGGGACTTTAGTGCACCATTTACATGAAATTGGAGCTATATCTAAATCTGAATCGATTTTCACGAAATTTAGCACACATAATTCTAGACTCAAATTTCGTGCAAATCGAAAGATATATAAGGACTTTCGTGCACCATTTACATTAAATCGGACGAAAAAAATGTGTATCCAGGAAAACCAAGTTTAAAATATTTTATGCATTGTATAAAATCGAGTCTACAAACGTGTCTTGGTGAAACTTGTCTTGTGTTTAACACTGTCACGCAAAAGCCATAAGTATCCATAACCAGATGCCGCAGTATGATACTCAGAATATGCTGGTCCATTATAGAGCAGTGGAACCTAACAAACTGGGAGCTCATATAGAAGCAGATTTGACGTAAGAATTGGAAATTGATTGGCCACATCTTAAGCAAAACATTCTATAAGAATGGCGCAATGACAAATCTAATATACACTCCACCTTGTGGCGGAGGATATAAAATATTGATTGGAAAACTATTTTTCATCGCGAAATTTCATAAACAATTTCCGATAATGGTCAACTTTTTGGTGGCGTCCATATAATAGTACCACTATATTTTCTGTATTTTACTGGTTTCTGTCAATAATTTTTATTATGATTTATATAGTAAATATTATGTTTAATAAGTTCCGCCTTTGTCTTGCCCTTGTTTATATTAAAATTTTACTTACCACCACTTAATTACTAAAACATAATTTAGATTATTTTTTATTTATTTTATTTATATAAAAACAATAATTTATTCAATATTTATGAAATGTGTGTTTTTAGATGAATTTGCTTAGAGACTAATTATGATTTTTTATATTTTATTTTCAACAAAACAAACAAGAAAATTACGCAAATAATTTTTTTTTTTTAACTCAATATATGTATACAATTTTTTTTTTACAAACAATATAAAATGAACTAAAAATACGAACATACGATGTAAACTAAAGTTAATTAATGAGTATTGTATTTGTGGCTATAAATGAACGGAAATTTTGAAAGAAGAAACGAAAGTACAAGTGAAAGTTTTGAAAATGTAAACAAAGTATAGGGAGAGAGAGAAATATTGAAGATGCATGGATGGAGTATAAAATGAAGATGATGTAAAGGGGGTGTGAGATGTGGAAAAAATGTTTTATTGAGTTCCTAACATTTGTTGCAATTATGATTCGATGTGAAATTTTTTATCGTTGCTGTATAGCCAATATGAGTAGGTTTTACGTCACTGTTCTGCCGAAGAATAGTTGGAACAGAAAGGCCAAAGATTGTACAGGGTTACCCATATTCGACGGACCCATCTGGCAACGCCATAAAATATCGCTACCGTACGAGCCAGTGTTCTGAGGTCCCCAAGAACATCTCAAAAACGCCGTTCTCAGCAGTTGGGCATGGCTCGGATTATTCGCATTGATTTGCATTTGTTCCCGTACAAAATTCAATTGACGCAAATAATGTTGCCTGCGGACAAGCCTCGTCGATTGGAATGGGCCCAAAGTCTCATCGAAATGGCCGAAGATGACGAGCAATTTTGGAACAAAATTATCATGTCCGATGAAGCCCATTTCACATTGAATGGGACCGTAAATAAGCGAAATTGCCGTTTTTACGCCACTAAAAATCCTCAGAAGATTTAAGAAGTGTCTCTTTATGACGAAAAAGTCACAGTTTGGTGCAGCGTTAGTGCTGTTACCATCAATCAGGAACGTTATCGCGACATGATGACCAATTTTGTAATTCCAATTATTCGTCGAAAGCGTATGAGGCAGTTCTGGTTTCAACAAGACGGCGCTCCACCGCACACAAGTCGCATAACAATCGATTTTCTGAAGAACTTGTTTCCGGGCCGTTTGATGTCGAAAAATGGTGATTTGGACTGGCCATCGCGTTCGCCCGATTTGACGCCGCCTGACTTCTTCTTGTGGGGATATTTGAAGTCAAAGGTTTACGTTAACAAGCCAAGGACCGTAGAAGAGCTCATGGACAACATTCGTGAAGAAATAGCCGTTATTCCGGCCAAAATGTTGGCAAAACGATGGAAAATGCAGCAAAAAGGGCACAATACGTCATCAACGCCAGAGGCGGCCATTTGAGAAATATCATATTCAAAAATGGATGTAAACAAATCTATTTGGAACAAATTAAATGATTAACATTGCCAACCGTCAAATTTTTATTTTTCCTTTGATTAAAAAAAAAACATGGGTCCGTCGAATATGGGCAACCCTGTATATGATTGTACGCTGACTAATAAGTCTGCTCATGATTATTTTTCGTGGAGGAGAAATAATGGATATTCCTACATCGATTCAGAGTATTGCTTCGAAGGCTATTATATATTTTTGGTCTAATCCAGTGTTCAAAGGATCGTGTCGATTGGTAAAAAACAGATGAGAAATCTTGAGCAACGTAGGAAATTCTGTTTGGCTGAAATCTTCGGGAAAATTAAAAAAAAACGAAAAATGCTCATTGATGTATCAATCCAAACCCCATACAGTTTTGACATGGCTCCCAATGACTCCTTTTTATTCCCACACATCAGGAAGAAATCTTCGGCGAAGTTGATCATTTCACTCTTCTGCTTAAACAACATTGGACGGTTAATTCTAAGTGGTGCACCACATTTTTTACCTGAAGTCTTTGGGAAATTCGAAAAACACACAAGGAAAGACGAATCTTGTCATAACAAACATGAAGAAAAAATCGTGGTCAACGATTTTCGGTGGCAGAATCGATGTGGAATAGGTCCTGAAAAATATATATCCTTGCAGGTCTTCACTCGATACACTGACGTCACACAGGGGAGAATATACACATAGACCCATCATTTTCGAGTTGTACCTTTCTCATATCCAAATTAAGGTGCACCATGATAGCAACCATGTTGTGGAAAATAAGTACAAAAGGGTATGTAGGTATGAATTTCTGTATGTGTAGCATTTTGTACATTAAACTTAAAAGTTTATAAACGGAAATTTAACAAAACAAAAATGTATTTTTTATGATTTGGATGATTTTGTGTAATTGTTATGCTTTTGACAACTTTCGATTTACTACAACAGTTCTACTATATAAAACGCTGTAAATGTATGATTATGTATATATGTGTGTTTGTGTGAATTATGTGTGTATATGTGTTGAATTTTTGTGTAGTTTTTTTTTTTTGTTCTCATTAAAATTAATAAATTAAAATTAAAATAATGTCTTTAAGAATTTGTTTTTGTTCGTCATAATGCGACATTCTCATTCTTCGTCCGCTCACTAACTCACTCAATCGATTATCTTAACTTAAAGCCAACAATGGTTCATCTTCCAATTCCTTATGTACCGATTTCTTTTTGTATTTCTTTTGTTGCAGTTTTGTTTTGACCAATTTCGTTTTGGATTTACTTGAATGTTTAGCCTTTTTGAGTTTCTTTTCTTCGGCGGCCTTTTCCTTATCCAGCAATTCCAATTGTTCAAAAATATTTTTCGGATGTGGATGATTACTGGGTTTGGTGGAGTTCTTGGCCTGATACACCACAACAAAATGTGAGAACGCAGTATCCACAGGCACATTAATATCGGCAAAATCACGGAAATGTGCAAACTGCTCTTCGGGATATGTGTATTTTTGTACAAAATCAACAGTGTCTTCTGGATGATAGGGCATTTCTTCTTCGGGATAGAATGTGCCACCACGTATAACACCAAAATCTCCCGAACCTAATATGGAAGCATCGTAGCCACCTTGTTTTTGATTCGGTGCCAGACCAGGACCAAGATTACCTTCTGGACGTGCTTCAGCATATTTGGGTACAAATGGCGTATCGGGTAACGAGAAATATGGACGAGAATGTCCGGATGGTGGTGCCTCCCGGAAGAAGGGTGGATAGTAATTTTGTGCTGCCTGACTGTGAGAATCTGCTGGGTTAACACGACGTATTGGCTCCGGCACATCAGCTCTTGCATTGTAACGTGAACTTTGTATTGGACGGAAGTGTTGTGCTGTTGTTGTGGTAGGTGGTTCATAAAATTGTCTTTCTTGTGAGCGCAAAATGGTTATGGGTGAGAAATCATTTGGCTCCATAAGCATGTCACTGTCTTCCTCGGGGAACTCATCTGAAAAGAGAAGAATTACAATAAATATTTAATACTTGTTAGGTGAAATAAACTCAATATATATAAATAATTGTTCGAAATAATATGAACTTTTATTTCAAAGAAAAAAGAAATGTAGTAAAGTCGGACGTGGCCGACTATATGATACCCTTCGTCACTTTGAATATATTCAACAGCTGTATCCTAACAGACTTCGCCTTTATGAAGGAACATTAGCCTGAAATTTAACGAACTTAAATATGTGATTTTTATCTATATGTGATTAACATCAATCCATACATATGTCATTCTGTAACCTGTGCTAAATTTCATTTGATTCAAGCAGATTTAGAGCTGTTTGCGTACAATGGGATAAAGTTATTTCAATCTATTTAAAACATACATTTGTTGTTCAAATCAATCGTACGCCCGTTGATTATTTGGTGCACAATTAACATGAAGTCGGCCTGAAATAGAGATGGGAACTATGTCTGCACCTGCACTTATTTCAACAAAAGGCAATAACTTCATTGTAGTCTGAATTTGAATTATAGTGCAAAATTTCGTGTCAATCGAACAAACATGAGGAAATTGGTGCACCATTTACCTAAAATCGGACGGAAATATATATAATATATGTCAGTTATATCTGAGTCTGAACCGATTGCAACACAACATGAAACACTTTAGGCTATACGGACTTTAGAATATTTTACAAAATTGTGTGCCAATCGACCAACCTTTGACTCTTTGGTGCAACATTTAGTTAAATATATATGGGTGCTATATCTAAATCTTATCTGATTCCAACAAAAACTGACGGAAGTTAGGCTATACAAACATCAGTTCTCTTTGCACAATTTTGTGCCAATCGGCCACATTTTGGATCTTTGGTGCAAGAAATAAGTGCCTGTGCAAAATTTTATGCGATTCGGATCATAAATGCAACCTATATTTTGTTCGCAATAATACATGGTTCAGAATTAGATATAGGTCCCATATATATATATCGCTCCGTCTCATTGCCCAACTGAGTGCTAGATTAGGTCCTGATTAATGTATGCGAAGTTTTGTTGCAATCGGTTAAGATTTAAATATACCTCCCAGGTATAGTTTTGTAAGATTTTATGTAAATGAAGCATCATATTGCCAATGTTTGCCCAGTATAGTTTGGTGAACCAAACCCCAATATATGTCCGAATGGGACAAAATTTTGCACAGAGTACCGGATTATGTTCTGATTGATGTATGCAAAGTTTTGTTGGAATCGTTCATATTTAAATATACCTCCTTGTCTGATTTTATGTACTACAAGTTGACGTCCATGAAGTTTTGCGTATTGCAGTGCATTGCGTATTGAAGTGAAATAGGTTCAGATATAGCTCCCATATATATTTTCGTCCCATCCTATGTAAATGGGTCACCAAACTCCGAATTTTATTACAACGTACCAAATTGATCAATATAAAAAATGTATTGGATTTTGTAAAATATATTCAGATGTTCACGCAAATTGTGCACTAAATAATAAACGTTTCTCCGGTCGAGATAAAACTTTGGATTTCATACAAATGATTGGCATTCAATTGTTCATAGATTTTAAAATAGTATTTGTATGGTTTTTTTATCCTTTACCACACTGTGGTAAAGGGTGTTATGTCTTTGTACAGGCAAAAAGAAACGCATAGAATCACTTTCTGAGTCGATTTATGAATGTCCGTCCGTCAGTTTGTCCATGTTAAATTATAAACAAAATGCAGGTCGCATTTATTTATTAAGAAAATCGGATCAGATTTAAGTATAGCTCCCGTATATAGTTTCATCCGATTTTATGTAAATGGTGCACCAAAGTCCCTATATAGCTTTCGATTTGCACGAAATTTTGCAAAGGGTACTGAATTAGGTCCAGAATGATGTGTGCTAAGTTTCGTGAAAATCAGATCAGATTAAGATATAGCTCCCTTATATAGTTTCGTCCGATTTTATGTAAATGGTGACCAAAGTCCCTATATACGTTTCGATATGCACGAAATTTTGCATAGTGTAGTTAATTGAATCTAGAATGTCGTGTGTCAAGTCTCGAGAAAATCGGGTCATATTTAGATAAAGCTCCCATATATATTTTCTTCCGATTTAAGGTAAATGGGGCAAAAAAAAAATATATATATATATATATATTCTCGTCCGATTTAATGTAAATTGCGCATTATAGACCTAAAGTTTTGCCGACTGCCACACAATTTTGTACAATGTACTGAAGTTGTAATAACCTTTCGTATGTCAAGTTTTCTTGAAATCGGTTCAGTTCCTATATATACTTTCGTCCGATTTTAAGCAAATGGTGCACTAAAGACCCACAGCTAGGCCGATTGACACAACGTACTGAAATTAATACGAGTATAAATTAATCTGAACCAAGTTTCCTTGAAATCGGCTTAGATTTAGATATAGCGTTGCTTCCATATATAATTTCGATCTATTCATGTTTATAGTACACCAAATAATCAATGGGGGCCTGATTGATATTACATTTTAAACAGTGAAGCATACGAAAGCGAGTGTAAAATTTGCTTTAAATCTGTTTATAAAATTTAGAATTAGTTGAAGAATGACATGTGTTGGGATTGATGTTAGTCGGTGTACTTATAGATAAAGATCACATATTTAAATTCGTTCAATTTCATGGAATACATATGTAGAATATACCCATATAGTCGGCCCAGTCCGACTTTACTACTTTCCTTACTGGTTTTAATTCAAATATGTATGTAGTTCACACAGTTATTTTCGTCCGATTCTATTTCGGTGGTCCTCCATAGATGCTATGTCTATCCTATCTACAGGATATTGTACATATAAGCATCTTTTGTATGTACCAAAGTAATGAGGGGTATCACATATTCGACTCCGTCCAACTATTGAACGTTCCCAACTGATTTAAGAATATTACTTTTATGCGAAGTTGGGGTCAAATTGGATAATCAAAAAGCTTCGTAGTAGATTTACACATTTAAAAAAATCTTGACCCCATAAGGAGAAGGTACTACCGGGAGTGGGTCTATAAATTCCATTTTCGGATTGAAAGAAAGTTTGACAAACATTTTTCGAATTTCAGAGTTTTTACCAAATCATGCTCGACATGACATGAAAAAATCGGAATTTTATACTTTGACTTTGGGCACGATTTTTAACCAATTTAGTATTACGGGTAAAATGCGAGTACCAAATCTTTCTACCGAAAAATTCATATTGGTTTACCCCCAATATGTCCAATACCACCAAAATGTCTGAGTTTGGTCACAATTTTCAACCAAATTGGTTATAATTTTATACTTTCTATTCTTATTCGGTAGGAAATCTTCCTAGTAAATATATCATTACAGGCCTAAGTTTGTAGTTAGCCTCCATATGACGCCTTTTTACCAAATTAGCTGTAATATAAGATTTCAGATTCTCATTGGTTGCCTAATCTTCATACCAGAAACCTCGATCCATTTTAAAACTCCAGCTCATGGTTGTGCTGGTATTAACCGATCGATCGAATATTCCCAACATGTAAGAATCAATGGCTAATTATATTTACTTATTACACAAGTGATTCATAAATCATACCGATACCCCGACTATGAGAATTATTTTAATAGTATTTATCTTTAGATCAATGTCGCGGTTTATTGTTTTCAAAAATATATATGTATATATCTTCATCATCTAACAGCTGGACAAACAAAGACATTCAACGAATATTATTTAACCTTGATTTTCATTGTTCTTAAAACAAGTCATAGTCAGTTGCAAAAAATTAACAACAACAACAACAACAACAAAAATAATATATCCAAAAAATAATTACAAACATTAAAACAAATAATCATTATTATAAAGAATGGGTGTCATGAAAATTAAATAAAATAACCCAACCAACCAACCAACCAACCAGGCAAACAAACAAAACAAAAGTAAGAATCTTGACTGCCGCTTGCTGTTGTTATTGCGGCTACAAGAGTTCTATTCTTAATGATAGCATAATTCAAGCTTATAATGACTATGTAAGCAAGAAGTGAGTGTGTGTGTGTGTCTTCGTGTGTAGATTCCCATAAATTATATACGCTTTGTTAGCACCGAGTTATGGTGAACGGACATGGTAGCTGCTGGTCTGAAATCCTCCTCACGATGATCTCAGATGACTAGAAGAAGAAGTTTTCAGTTAGCAAAATTAAATTACGCTGAAACATGGCTAACTGGTGTTGTTAGAACACATGTTCAAAATCACTTGCTGCTGACTCTCCGCCCGCTTGACTAACTGGGTTTGTTAGAATCGCTTGCAAACATTATCCACTGGGCGTTAATGTTTATACTACCATCATAGTTGCCATTATGATGCTATGATGCGAAATGATGAAGAAGAAAAAAAAAAACATGGACAGACCGACAGACGCCACTTTGGATGTGAATGAACACAAAAGGTCAAGTAAACATTTTCTTTGTTAGTTCTTGGCCACGAAAACAAATGGAGAAGAGTATCGGAACCCAGAAGTATTCTATGATTAATTTCAACATGTTGCAAATTCTGACAGCGATGATGGCTGTGATTAGCCACAACTAGGAAAAATATAATTATCAACCGTAATATATTAGTCATAGGTGTAATTTATTAAAAAACAATGTTAACTTAATTTGTGGAGTCTTTTGTTATATGAGTGATATAATTAGAGGGGTTAAGTAAAGTAATCAACGTATGTCATCCATGACCTTTTGGGGTTCGAGAATTTTATTTATAATTTTGAAGCATCATATTTATTATTGGAAGTTGATTGAACTAATCAAATTTGAAGAAACATAGGGGTCTCATAATTTTATGGAATATGTATGTAAGATCTTCGGTATAATTTAAGTCTGAAATGCAGTGAAAAATTTAAGAGATATTGAGCACACAATTTCCAATACCGATAATGTTTTAATTATTTTTTTTCATTTCCAGAAACCTGCTTGTCAAATTTAGAATTATTTCATCCA